AACAGCTACGGCTATATATAACACGGCTTACTGACAAAAGCTCCGCTGAAACTCCAGAACTGTCAAGTTTTAGATGTGAAATCCTTTTTTGACATCATGAGTTAACGGGGGTCTTTCTCTAACATCTGCATTGCGATGTCTGTACAGCATGCGTTTAATAGGTGCCTGCTATAAAGATAAGATGGAAGTCATTTTGAACTCCAAGCTTGATAGCAAATGGAGCCATGCAGGAGTTCATGCTGTTCTATATATGAAAATGTTCAATGTCTGACACCAGGGAGTCCATATTAATTTTTCGGCAGTCTGCATACACCAATGCTGAGCACTGCTTGCTGCTACCTGCAAATGTAACTCCCTCTACCGCCCTTTTGTGTTTAGATTTATGTGAACTTTTTCTCAGTAAGTGTTCATGTTAATTAAAAGGTTTGCTCAGACTGAAACTACTGTAGGGATAACATATGGTTACTGCAGAGTTAGTGTGGTTGAGGTTAGGTTACAGAAATCATGGTCAAGGTTGAAAACAACCCAACAGTAATTGTTGGTCTACAACAGAGCTCTAACTCTAGTCTCTTGTATGAAACTAAGATGCACTACAGGCCCATCCACCTCTCAGATAATCCAACCTATCCCATTACAACGATTTGTATGACTTCTTACGAAAAGTTATTCCTTATTTTTCATGCATTTTCCGAAGAATGTACAGCAACACGTCAATTCACGCTTGTTACATGCATTCAAAATAAATTTCCGTCTTCACAACTTTATGCAGATGACCCGTGGGGCAACAACTTGCCAACAACTAATCATATTTTAATTCCCTTGTGAACCTGAAGCACATATTTGTTATCTGAACCACGCAAAACTCAGATAAAATAACAACAAAAACTTCAACAAAGGTCAACAACAACCCAATTCTCTATGATATAACTCTAACGACACATAAACTTTGTTGTGTGCCAGAAAAGCGGCAATGTGAGAAACTAACTGTCCATTCGTAGTGAGTAAGAGTAAATTGTGTACATGCTCGTGAGAACGCGTGCATGTCTGTCTTAGTGCATTAAGGGAAAATGAAAAAAAAAATTGTTATTCTGCTCTGTAACAGCTAAGAATGGAAAAAAAGAGAGAAAAACAAAAGTTGATGCCATTTTCCTTCTGAAATATTTTTTTTCCAATTTTTTCCCCCCCTCTACTGGCTGGTGAGATACGTTGCAGCAGATTTATTCTTATCACCGTCTGCATTTGAGTCATTATCATCTGTGTTAAGCTGAGTGTTAAACAGAGGGGCTGCTCTTGAGTGCAGGGGTTTGTTCAGCTGACCTGCAAATGACCTACGCCTGTCCCCGCTCTCACGCTAACGAACGCTCTCAGCAGAAATCCTCATGGCATGCTTTAGGCTGGCCCCTGCCAGGACGTAGTGATTTGTGTCGTGTCTGGGATGCATTCCCGCCTGCCTGTCATTGGTCAATCCAGGTTTGACCCACCATCCTTTTGACCAGTCACAGACCGCTCTTGCAGATCTGCAGATAAGCTCAACGACGTCGACCCAGCAGTGCTCTGTGTTGTTTTATCTGCCTCTCTTTTAGTTTCCCTGTTGTTAACGTCTACTTCTCTGTAATCCTTTAATGTTTTCTCTATCTTTCGTCCTCTGACTCACTACGCTCTTTATTGAAAACATGAGCTGGTAATCTTTCATTAGAACGACAGAACACCAACTGCATGCATGCATGCCCTGGAGGGGGCTGTAAGTAACAGGCAGGCATTCCCGAAACATTCTTTTCTGGTAATAAAGTCCCCGTAAATTAAAACCACTCGCTGTTTTGCTCCCAAAAATAAGTCGAGCAAGGAATGCAACTCCTCGGACGAAAATAAAACTATTGACAAATGTTTCCCCCTTGAATTTGAAAAAAATAAAGCATATTAAATAAGGCAGAAGTAACTACTGAGCACCGAGGAACACTAAGATGAAGAAAGCATGCTGTAAAATATTGAGATAAATACATATTTGTGAAATTATCTCCAGCTGAGGTTGTATTTTTTCTCTTTTCCCATCCCCCTCTTCCCTCGACACATTGCTGACACAGCACAGCTCAAGCATAGACCCTGAAGGCCAACAATGCCTTCTCCCTCTCCACCTCTCACTCAGGGTATATAGGTTTGGACTGAATAAACTTCCAGTGTGGATACAGGAAGTGGCTCAGCAACTTCTCAGGTTTGGACATACTCTCAGTGGGATAATAGACCTCTTGTGGAAAGCAGATGTCAAAATGAGTCAAGGACTTCATTCCTCTCCTTACTGAGGACACGCGAGAAGCATAGAACATTTTCTCTGCCAGCACACAAGTATGTGTGGAAGCCACAGACAGATAGTATGTGAAAGGAATAGATAAAGGTTTTAGAAAATACTATTACTAATATAATTCTATTTTTTCAATTGCTGAGAGCGAGATGAGAAGATTGATATCACTCTTATGTCTCGGCGCTAAATTTGGAGCTGGGGCAAGGCGGTAATTAGCTTAGCTTAGCATTAAGTCTGGAAGCAGGGGTAAACAGCTAGCATGGTTGAAGGGTAGGTTTTCCAGCACCTCTAAAGTTCACTAATAGACACATTATATCTAGTTTCTTCTTCTGTACACAAATAGAAATGTAAAACTACAATAAGGTAGTTTTAGGGTTAAACAAGCAGACGTAGTGACTTATGAGTGTCTGGTTGTCACTGCGGTGGAGATGTTGCATAGAAGTGGACAGATGGGTAGATTGTTAGGATATAGTGACACCAGGCGAGCTGTTTCTCCCTGTTTCTCCCCGTTTCTCCCTGTTTCTCCCCGTTTCTCCCTGTTTCTCCCCATTTCTCCCTGTTTCTCCCTGTTTCCAGGCTTTATGCTAAGCTAGGCTAATTGCCTCCTAGCTCTAGCTCCATACTTAATGCACAGACATAAGAGTGGTATCAATTTTCTCATCCAAGCCAAGAAGCATAATTCCTAAAATGTAAAACTATTGCTTTTAAAATAAACCCTGAATACATGAGTTGAGAAACAACAAATGATGCTTCAGAACAGATGGAGTAACTATGTGGTTCACCAGTTACAGTTTGTTGTTGTTGTGTTAATGGAGACGTCTCTGTGAACGTTTTAACATGTTTCAAGCAGTGAGTATTTGATACTCAACAGCTACATTTTTGGTTGAGTGTTCCTTTAACCTTTGCTCCCGTGCAGCTGCTTAGTAGCCAGAGGTCAAGTAGCGAGAGTAAAATGTACAGATGTTTTGAATAAATATGTGTTCATTAATTCTTGTCTGAATCACACGGATTATTTAAAAATCGTTTTGGAAGCCAAAAATCTTAACTCTCCTCTTCTTGTAAAGATAGTTGAATAAACACACACAAACACATACAAGATGTGTGCACATGTGTAAATGTATCGTGATGACGCACAATGTGGACTCCTACTGCACCCACACTTCCTAACGTACGACTGCTGAGTGTCTGGATAAAACACATGCTCGAAAACACGTCTTAAATCAGAGCGACTACTGTGACCGTTTCACCTCAAAGTGTTGAAACTTGATCTCTGTTCTGGGACAGAAGCAGGAGAAAGCTATCGAGAGACAAAAATACATCACACTGAAATTATTGTTCTTCACAAGCCATGCTATCACAGAGAGAAAAGCTACAGCTGTGAGCAGTAAATAACAGGAACGGTGTCTATGAACAGTGGGACACAGTGAATTTAAGCAAATGTTTATGGTAGATTGGTGGTGTATAATACAGAAACTAGAAGTATATGGTAAGATTTTCTATGATGTCTATAATGAACTTTAAATATACTTATAATGTAATTTTAGTTATAAGCCTCAATTCCTAAATATAAATAATGTTTTATAACACTATTTACCTTTTATATAAATAAATAATTTTTTTTCCGCAGGGATCATAATGTGTTATAATGCCCATAGTTTTATACATTATAATATTTTCATAATGCCTCATTATGTGATTATTGCATCGATTTAATAACGTTTTTTCACTTTACTTAAAGCACCCAATGACCACTTTGAGTAAGTTATTGTCACATTAATAATAATGCATATATAACTCAACGACACACCTGTACATTTTCGTGCGTCTTGCACAGTTCTGATGCAATCGAAGTGACAAAATCTGTCGACAGACGGACGGACACATAAACACCTGGCTGACTCACACACAGACTCACAAGGTGAAAATACCTTAAACCTGTCGCTGTGGTGGCTGGTAACATTACTCTGACCTACCTACATGGGCCAGAGGCACCGTATGATCAATCTTCTTGAATAACTATTCATGCGGAAATGTAACAGTATATCTCAGCGCTAGTTGTCATAAGACGTTTTACATATTTTGCTAAAACCTCTCCTGGTGGAAATGACTGTGGCTTGTGTCAGGAGACGTGCTCAAACTCAAGGAATTTGTTAATGTAACATTTTAGAAAGTGCTACACACAGCTGGAGAAGGTACCAACATCTGGTCAATGGGTATAACTTGTATTGCCTGATGAGTGAGTGAGATTACGAACTTGTCTGGAACAAATTTGGATCTGAGAACCAGATACACTTGAAGAAAAGGAAATCAGCATTGACCCATTTCTAAACAGATTTTTGTTGGTTTTAGACCAAGTTGTTATGTGTAGTTTTTTGCTGAGTGAAGCAAAAGCACACTGAGATGCTGATAAGTTTGCAAAGTCAGACAACTGGTCGGGAACAGCCAGGATGCTGCGGTTCCCTTTCCATCTGCTGTAATGGTGAACTGAACATGAAAGCAGCAGCCAAAAATAAGTTTGTTTCTGGGAAATGAGGTGTGGCCTTCTTTTAACCTTGTGAATTTCTACCGCCAAGATAAATATTGAATTATATAAGAAAATATTCTTTACGTAACCATTTGGAGAATTGACATCACTGATGTACCATAAGGGATACGAACCAGTGAAGGATCACAGCTGGAAGTCAAGAAGTCACTTGATACTCACCAAACCTCTTATAACCAAAGGACTGCACCTCCTCCTCATCGGCAAAATCGTCTGGAGGGAGAAACAAAGAAATAAAGGAATTAATAATCAATTAAAGATATGATGAGTTATGAAACTACGAAGACATAATGCATCCAGACAATAAAAACAGAGAAACTGGCACACTACTTCATATTATCACATCAACACGTCTAGTGAAAATCTTTTCTTATGATGCATTTGAAATAATATTGTTTTCTTTGTTAAGGATATATGTGTTCATGCTGGAACAACAGTACAAGAAGCCTCAGTTGTCCTTACTTAAATACATGTTTATTACAACATAAATCCAATCGGAAAAGCTCTTGGCACGGCGTGTGTACATGGAGAGACATACAAAAAAACTGCAGTAACATTACATTTACTCAGCCTTAAGCAGTGTATCCCACGTCACACAGAATCACATGTAATCACGCCACCTTGGAGGAGGATAAACAATCCTGTGTGACTATTTACCTCCAGACACTCAGAGAAAAGCCCCCCAACAGAGAGCATGCCAAGGGTGAAGGACTTTCAACTCCACTCCACAACACTACACACAAAGAAATCTGCAGTCAATGTCTTTTTTTCCAGTAGATGAGAGTTTCTACTGATGAAGACAGTGAAATGCTGTTGAAAGCTCCAGTAAAGTGTTTAGTGGCACATGGGCTATTTTTTCTCAATCTACCGTTTCCAAGGTCAAGGATGAACTTACTCAATCAATTTCAATCCTTTTAGTCTTATTTAGTCCTTTTTAAATATAAATGTTTCAACTTGCTTCATCTGTGTTGAAGTCCACTGAAGCCATTCTCTGTGCAGTGCTTAATGTTAAAGGTGAGAGATCTGAGATTGAGAGCATTTCGATTGCCTCTCAACGGCCCTGAACTTGTTGATGGCGAGATGGCGGCTAAAAGCTAACGGTGCTAACAGCGCTTACAGTGAAAACTAACAGCGCTAACAGTGTTTATCTGAACCAGAGTTTGGACACTACTCTTCCACGACAATCAGCTGTAACCGCCATATGAGAGCATTGCAGAGCAACGTCTATGAGCTACTCAGTGAGGCACGCTCACATGCACGAATATGCATTAAAGGCACTTGTGGCCGACCCTTTGTCAACAACACACAGGGCGAGAGCGACTTTATTCTCTGCTCAGGTAGACTCTATTCCACCATATCTTTACATAGATAATTGATGTTTGCTGCTATATTAATGTTCAGAATGTTAAAAACAGCTCCTTTCAAAATAAAAATACACTCCGTCTTGCTCTGATTAGCTCAGCTCTTTTAAGTAAACTCTCTTTTTCCTGTACTTGGTGGGATTACTCCCATGACCTGACGGGCCCTGAGCGTCCACTCCTTTCAAGCAGCTCTTACTTCTGTGGGAAAGTACTTTGCCGATTCAAAGATTTTTTTTCCTGCGTCATCATCCATGGCCAGGAAGAAAAAAAAAAGATACGACCCAAACACAAAACAAATCTGTTATAAAATGCCAATAGCTAGGTGTGGCAATATAAGAAGTGTAGAATGAAATCATGCGGATGGGACATTGTCTTATTCGTGGTGTATTGCATGTCTCCTCCTGAGGTTAATAGGTAGGACTTTTCTTGATTTTAAACCTGTGAGAAATCACCGGGACTTTTGAGCCGACATCTCTGAAGGAAAGCAGAGCGAGTTAAGAGATGACGAGAACATTCCAAACAGTTGTAAATAATCAGAAACCACATCTTACTTGAGGAATCTGCCTTTCCCAACAACCCCAATACTCAGTTTCCTGTTTTTGTTTCCAAGCAACTTGACTGTGTCCCATTACAATGGTGATGTTACCGTAAGTCCGCTTGGCTTTTCAAGAGCCATTCGGGGAAATGGAGTTCATTGCCTTTTGCCAAAAAGGTTGAAAACAGAGTGGATTTGAAAATAGATTAATGAGTTAAACTCGGTGTTATTTCGGTTGAATATTGCTAGTGTGGGGCCATAACTCCTAAGAGGGATTGCTCAACACCACTGGAATGGATCCCAGCGAGCACTGATTTGGTCATTTTGCAGGTCAAAAGATGTCTAGGCATCGTTGTTAAAACCGGGCTAAATTTTGTCAATAAGTGAACAGCATTTATCCGTCTTAATTACACGTAACTGTTGGTTAATTACTAATTATAGTCTTTAAAATGCTGTTGAAACTATTGTTGTAATAACCAGAACTGTAACATTCTGACCAAATTTAGCTCAGCTTTAACGTAGACATTTTGTCAGTGAGTGCTCACTGGGACTGATGACTTACTGCAATATGTCAATATGTTTTATGAATATTACTACTGACTGTTATGCTTTCTGCTTCCTGTAACATACAGTATTAGTGTTTGTCTCTGCAGTGACTATTAGTCAATAATCAAAATCAAACAAGTTTAACATCAGAGGGCCACTGATGCACCACAGGAATAAACTTTATGTAGTCAAAAGAAGTCTGTTGTTCATACATTAAGTGTTTGCAGTGTGACAAACAATCATTATAACAATGTCCTGAGCTTTTTCCAGAGCTTTTAACCACATATCATGGCCTTCATCAGTGGACAGTGGAAAAGTTAAGAGTACTTTCTGATAACAAGCTCAATCAGTTCTTCTGTTTTTTTCTTGTGGTGTATCTATAATTAGCAATGAAGTGAAGAAATAATAAAGAAAGCATGGTTGCTGCCACCTCTGTAGCTCTTGTTAAAAGCTACAGTCGACCCTCCCAGGTGCATGCTGGTCCTACAGAAGTCACATTGCCTCTCACTGTACAGGAGCAACAGGAAGTGGCTAACATGGCATTAAAGATGGACTGTGAGAGCAAAGAGTTGTTCAAATTCATCTCCACAATGCAAAGCTTTGTGTTAATCTTCTAAAATGGACCACTAGGCGGCAGGAGTCATGTAGTGCTCATTCAATGTAATACTGAACCAAGAGCCTTTGTGAGTGGGTGAGAATGCCATGCACGATGTTAATGTAGCAACATCCAAAACATCTGGCATCTGAGAATCACATCTGGCAAACCTAAAATAAACCTTTATTTTAATTCATGAGTTGTTAACCAATGACCACCATGACTCGCACACTTTGGGGTCTGTTGTATTCACTAATGCGTTGAAAGGGAGCAAATCATTGGATTAAGGGTCCGGTTGGCGGGTGAGCATGCGCGCGCGCGCAGTTATAGCCCACCACAATAAAGCCGTTCATGCACGAGAGTTAAACTGAATCAGTGTTTCCTTCAGCTGCTTCTTATTTCATTAAGCCAAACGTTTGATCCGACGTGTACAAGTGTTTAACATAGAAAAGCACTTTAAGGCACAAATGACGTTACATTTGACTACTAAACACATTTAGAGTTGCTGTCTTGATGAAGTTATGTCATGTGTATTTTTGTTTTGCTCTGTTGTCAATAGTTCTGTGAGTGTAGGTTAGTGTTTGATGTGCAGCAGCAGCAGCCAGATGCAAAACAATCCCAAGCAGAGAAACTTAATTGAAACCAGATGTCAGACGAGAGATGAAGCCCACGCATTCCTCTCGTCTCAGACTGAGAGAAAGAGGCAGAAAAGTGACAAAAGAAAAGTGCAACAGGAATAATGCACGAGCAGAAAATAGATCAAATAATGATCAATGAGAACTGTGGCGTGTGCTTCAGTTAATTTCTGTCTTTCTGTCTCCTCTGAGGGAGCCTACCTTTCATTGTGGTTTACAGGACTCTACCGTTGTGAAGCTGCTGTTGTTTGAAGTCACATCCACAGCATCGCAATGGCATTTGCCCAAAAGCTCCCTTTGAGCGCACAGCACCTTGGATCTGCGAGTATCCAAAAATCCACAGTTTGTTGGAGTAGAGAGAAATGAGAATTCAAAGCTCCATCCGTGAGTCCTCACACCGGGGACGATCTCCTGAAGTGCAGCAGGTAACCAAGGGACGGACTAGTAAGCAGGAGTTCCCAGAGCAAGAGAGAAAACTATCTTGTTATTTATCTGGTAGTCTGGAGGGATGCTGGGGTGAGGGTGTATCCTAGTCCGCCTCAGCACTCTGGTGGTACCCGCAGCAGTGACCGGAGAAACTCAAAAAGTGAAGGAATCCAAACATGAGAGGAAGTGGTGCTGCTCGGAGAAACCACGTGTTCCCTCATCTGTGCGCACCGTCTGCACCCCTGATATTGTGTGTGTGTGTGTGTGTGCGCGCCTGTGCGCGCGCATTTGCCTGCGTTTGTTTCGATTGTTGGTGTTTGAAGTTGGAGCACATCCTTGAGGTATACAACTTAAAACAGGTTCCTGCTACTTGCGCATTATTTTGGGTTGTAGATGCCAAAATAAAAGCAGCCCTGTTGTGCTTTGATATATTCTTGTAAAGCAAAAATAAAACATTCCCATTTTTCTAAATGAATGCTATATGGACTAAGACAGTTCACAAATATTACTCAACATGATCAACTCTCTCCCAAATCCAAAAACTAGAATCTTAAAACCATAGAAATAGACAGAAGAACATTACCATTGAAACCCTTACATTCTATGTGCACCGTTGACATTGCGACCCTTGTAGCGGGCTAACTTCTGTAGAAACTGAACCAACTTACAGCAATTCACGGTCTTACTGAGCTGAGTTTTTGCAGTCGTGACTAAAAGCAAATTTCATCCACACACTTGTTGTCATAATGTAGGAAAGAACTTTGTTCCGCCTTTTGTCTGTAACCATGTGGAATTAGCTAGCTAGCTGTGTTACGTCCACCATGCTTGAATGTTACACTTGTTACTGAAAATGAGTTGAATTTAAGGAACAACAATCGCTGTTTTCTATTGGTTCAGCAGCTCCAGACTTTATACTTTTAACAGGTTTGAGACTTACTTCTCTGGTTTCTTATTCAGGTTTGCATTTAGAATACATGATCATCTAAAAATAACTTAAACTCACACTACAAAATGTTGGACTATTTAAATCCAATAGTGGAGACCCTCTTTGAGCCTGCACAACGGATCTACATACAGTACATTCATTATTTTTGCAATGTGGAGGCAGCAACAAGCTGTAAAGTTGACTTGAGGAATGTTTTCTCTATCTATTTACACTTCCAGCAGACAAGGAGCAACATCAATATTCATTTGGAGTTGTGTTTCTGGCCATCTGATCATCAGAAGTCCAATATTCCTTCTCTTTTACCTCAGATTTTTCTGTTTCGTCTCTACCGACTCCTGAGAAAAATATCTGTCTCTTTAGCTGCTGGGTGCTCCAAGTTATTCACCAGGTTGTGGTCAACTGTGACCACTGAAAACAGCTGCCTACTTCAGCTGAAAACACTGATAAGAGCGGTGAGATTGAACCAAAACAACTATAGTTTGAGGCAATTAAACCAAAATGAGCTGAAAGATGCTATACAATTCCGCAGCCTGGGGCGGTAATTCTCTGTAGGTTTGTCACAATGAGCAACACCTTTCTTATTACACATAGTCCTGTGATGCTTTGTAAATATATTAATTATAGCAGCTTTAAATTAGTGACAGAGCGATCACTCCGTGTCCACAGAAGGCAATTACACAAAATCTAAAGTATGTTTATTCCTCACATCTGCTGTTTTGTTAACCATGAATTTGGCTGAAAGGCAAAATATCCCTCATGCAATAACTGTTACTCTTTTTAATTGGAGTTTCCACGCCTCGCTCACTTGTTGCATGCTCATTCATTTTGTTTTAGACTGCGGAAATATTTGCTCCAAATTCCCCTTTGAGCTTTTCTGTGGAATTAACAAAACTCAACACAGCTCTCAGACGTTAACTGTTTCATCCATTACTTCATGTCTCTTTAAAGCAGTTCATCCCCTGCACCTTTTTATCTCTTCAGTTCAGGACGGGACGCTTTGATCAGTTACACAAAACTTAACACGAGGCCACATCGTGAGCCGGTTATATGGACCTGCTGCTGCACCTTGAAGATAATAAATCTCCTTAGAACTCAACTGTGTAACATCAGATCAACAACAAATTTCATTTTAAGTTGAACCAGTGTGAAACACTTTTTTTTTGTGATTTACATTCGTTCAGATTGCGTGCATGTAGCCTCTGGCCCTTTTTTTTTGTTGTCAACAAAAAACGTTTAAGTAACGTTTACGTTTAAGTAAACCGCGGGAGAACATTTCTCCCTGCAGTGTTATAGGAACCAGGTGTTGAAGGTGTCAACGAGGCTGCGGACTGAGCTGAAGTGCTAGCTGGTTTTGATTATTATCCACTGAGGACCCTATTTTCTGGGTCACAGAACGCAAAGAGGGCACATTTTTGAGGGCGATGGGGCACCAGTGAAGAGATGGGGACAGAGGAACCCTTTCACCCCAAGTAGCCCCTCACATTCCAGGAGTGGAGATGCTAAACAGCTACCTACTGGGAGGAATGTTTCCTTTGACTAAAGATACAGATCTAAGAATAGCTGGTGTTCATTTATACATGACAGACTGAAGTTACCAATCACCTAAAAAGAATGGCTCAGCTATTATGGGTTGGTTGCTTATATACAGTAGCTTATGTGTCAAAGGATGCAGCTCTGCTCTCATGAGGTCAACACATGGCTCATGTCCAACAGGTTCATCATAATAATCCCACTCTGACTAATTCCCTCATCAATCAAATGCCAGAAACACTGTGCTGTAAAGTGCTGTGATGACACTCCTTCTCTGCATGTAAGGATTAAAAGGGGCAGATGTCCCCAAAATCAAGAAACAGACATTTGTCCATATGATGACGTGTATCAAATACAGACATGTTTCCTCAGTGTAAACATGTCTGACATGACTAAGCAACCTCTTGTGCAAAACAAACCTCTCTGGATTAACAGACATCAAAGACTGTAATCGGATGAAGCTGGAGTGGAAGGAGCACAAATAGATCTGGTCAGGTCCACAAACTTCCCGCCGACTGTCCACGCAGAGCTCTTTGTTTATTCCTGCCGGTGGAGAAGCACCTTCAGTCATCTGCTGGTGAGTTCCTCTGTTGTGATGGTCACTTTGGGCCTTTTCTGCTCCTTTTGGGATTAGTCATCATAACTGTGTAGTTTGTATTTAACTTGAGTCGATTATTTTATTAGAATCATGTTTTGTTTTTAATAAGATGTTATTATAATGAATGTTAGTTTGATAAATTAATGTTGTCATTGTTTGAAGTGCTCGTCGTGTTTTCTTGCTACTTTAAAGACATGTTTTGGATTAATATTGTCATGGTTACTGCAACATCAGTCTCATCAATTTGTGCTACTTTACATTTATTTACAATTCATAATTATACATTCATGATTAGATTATATGACTGTTGTCCGTTAGAAACAACAGCTTGATTTGTTGAGAGCAGGATAAAATAGAGCTGATTGTACCAGCAGCTTAAACCCTTAACGACATAAGACAGTACATCCGCATTTACTGTAAATCCCTGCTGGATGCCAATCTGTATAACTCCTCGTGTGGCTGAACTGGGGCAGGTGAGTTGAGCTTGTTTACTGGTTACTAAATGAACACGTGAACACGACATGATATCAGCTTCTGTGACTTGATGGAGCCTGACGGTGCAGATAGTCCAGACAGAAACACAGTTTGTCAAGTTTTCAAGCAATGCAAACAATCAGATTAAGAACAAACTAAATGCTCTAGTCTAAATATTCTCTCATATTACGCCACAGATGTCTGATTTAAAGTTCAAAATCAGATGGAATAATAACTTTTATGCAACACTGGTATTACTGCAGGATTACTAAATGTATCATAAAATGAAGTCATTATCTGACATGCACTAGTTTCTTATGTCTAAACAGATGTGTACCACCACCTAGTGGCAAACCTACTTAAGACCATGTACAGAATTGATGTCTATTTACGCTCAAGCTCAAATCCTGTTAGCTTTCTGGAGCAGACTAGAAAGCACCTGTTGCTTTTGTTTCCTCGGTTTGTGTATGTGTCGTCATCATCATCATCGCTTGTCGTTTTTTTTAACGTTCCAAAAGCTCCGAGCTCAAGAATGAAGCTGCTGCTCGGTTTGGTTGTTCTGGTGGCGACGCTGGGGGTCCTTTATTCTGCCCCAGAGGACCAACCCACTGGCGTCTCCGAGGACACCTTAACACGTGAGTCAGCACAGAGGAACCTAATTGTGTCTTTGCTCATCTTTGAGGGAATGTGGGATGTTATGCATGAGTTTAAAGTAACTTTTTTTATCAGCAGCCCCTCAGCAAATGTCTCTAAAATGCAACCAGTGTCAACATCTGACACTATTTCTCTCTCTTGAAGTTTGTGTCATCTGATACAAACAGTAAATACAGATGTTTTGCAGCTGTTTTGATAGTTTTTGTCAACTTAAGTGTTCATTAAAACATCTCACCCAGGTTCTTTTTCTCCCTCCATCTATCAGAGCTGTCTCTGGATGGTGAGAAACTGGTGGATGAGGAGGTGAGGAGAGCTCTGTATGGGGTGAAGCAGATGAGGGAGGTGATGTGGAGGAACGAGCAGAAGCATGAACGCCTCATGAAGTCCCTCCGACACAGCAGTGACAAGAAGAAGGCAAGACCAACACGAAACTTTCCCTGAAGAAAGAAAGGCAGACAGAAAGCAAATCAAGTTCATGAAACATGTTTCCCTTTCTGCCACCAGGAGGCAGACCAACTGGCTGATGAGGTGACTGAGAAGCTGGAGGAGGCGGAGGAGCAGTGCAAAGACTCCCTGCAGTCTGAGTGGGTGGAGTGCAGACCCTGTCTGGAGGATGCCTGTAAGACCTTCTACACCTCCACCTGCCGCAGAGGATTTGGCATTTTCCAAGCCAAGGTATGAAAGCTCGGACTTTTGTGCTTTTACCTCCAAACTATTTGCAGCCACATATAATACAATTGTGTGGTTGTCTACTGAAAGATTACCTTTTTAGCAATCCATTGCTTTATTTGGTGGGTTTATTTCAAACACTGCAAATACATCAACATGTAAGATGAAGGAACGCATTAATGACTAAAAACACCTGTAGGCATTTGTGATGAATGACAGCAGCACAATTTTGTATTGCAAACATGTATTTTCCTTTAGACCAGTGGTTCCACAACCTTTTTTTGCTTGTGGTCCCTTCAAATGTCGTATATATGAACCCCAGTAATCATCTTGTGACCCCCAGTTTGTCAACCACACACCCTACACAATATTAAAATAAACTCACCTTGTATACTTCTCATACTGCAGGTGGATAACTTTTTCCGCAGAGTGTCCAGGCGCTTTGGCCCCCGGGAGCCTCGCACAGATGCGGGGGACATCCTGGTGAATCAGGGCCCCGACGACACAGACACCGAGGTTGACCGCATCGAGGACTCCTTCAACCGCCTGACCGGCAGGGTCGGCCTGCTGGTGAGCCGCAGCGTGGCCCTGGTCTCCAGGATGCGCAGCAGGCTGGACGAAGTCCTCCAGAGAGCCTTCCTGAACAACAGCGACGTCCTGACGGAGGAGGCCGCCGCCGCCGATATCTCCGACGCCGGACGGGACTCGGGCTTCCTGCAGGGGGCGGGACTGGAGGAGGTGCTGGACTCCTTCTTTGACTTCGGCAAGAGCGTGGTGGAGGAGTTTGGAGCTGTGGTGACCCAGGCGTTTGATGACATCCACGTGGCAGTGGAGGAAAAGAAGAAGAAAGGTAGTGGGAAGCGGCGGCGAGTTGACGCCAGTGAGGCCCAAATATGTCTAATCGACCAATCGATTGTCGACTAATCAGTAGTTTTGTTCTTAGTTGACTAAGATTTAGAATTCCAGCTGCTGCCATTATTGGGTTGAATGCAAACCTGCACAGTATTTGGCTTCAGTGGCACATGGTGGAGGACTACTGGGTTAGAGTTTCGATGTGCTAACTTTTCATATTTCAAAAGCAGTATACTACAGAGATTGTCACTAATATTTAGATTTAACAACAAACATCTTCACACAATGCAAATCAATAAAGACCACAAATCTAACTGCTGAACATCTTTCTGTTTGGTGTAGTGAGGGAAAGTTTCCCGCGTTTCCTGCAGAACAGGAAGTTGTGCAGAGACCTTCGCAAGCAGACGTCAGAGTGCTGGCAGCTGCAGAGCCAGTGTGAGGCCTGCCAGGGGCCTCTGCTCACAGGTGAAGCACCACCTCCATCACAGCTGTGTTTGACCTCAGCACCTCCTCTGACCGCTCCTCCTCCTCTTGTCTCCAGAGTGCCCCAGTGTTCGGGAGCTGCACGTGGAGCTGGACGAGGTTTCCCAGCTGCTGGATGTGTCCAAGGAGCAGTACAACGAGATCTTGTCTATTGTCCGGCGCCACACTGACGAAACGGTCAACTGGCTGAGCAGCATGGCGGCTGAATTCAGCTGGGTGGCTCAGAATGTGATCAACAGCAGCATTCCTGAAAACATCTTCCGCATCACCACGGTGAGAAGGAAATGAATTAAAAGGCAGAATAACAATATGATTGAGACGGTGAAATAAAGTCTTCAGGGAGTCACCAGTTACAGATGATAAATTATTCAAATGTCCACATAATAAACAAATATAAAATAAACAAACAGTCAAGGATGTAGAGAAACATCTTTTAGATAAGTGTGGAAAACGTTTAGTCAACATCTAACATTGGAGACTGATGTTTGGTTGGTGTAACAGGTGACCTCTTCCACTCTCCAGGTGGCGCCAAAGAGCCACGACGAACAGAACTCATCCGAGACTGAGACCAGAGTGGAGGTCAACATCCTGAACTCTCCCCCACTTCTCCTCTCTGTTCCTGGGGAGCTGGAGCTGCGGAACCCCGCCTTCATCCAGTATGTGGCTCAGGAGGCTCTGAACAAGTACAAGGAGATGTTCAGGTGAGAACATTAATGAGCTTCACTGTGACATCCATCATCCCTCTCCAATCTCTTGTCCTTCTACTGTAGATGGGGGGGGGGGGAAGGCCCAAGTTGTCATTAGATCCAGAGCTTCATGCAAAAGTGCTCAACTTTTCTGGGTTTTGGTTGCCATGTTCTGATATTTACTGTGATACCCTCTTTCTTTACAGGGACGAGGATGAATAAACCCACTGTCTCCTCTTCTAAACTTCAACCAGCACTTCCTTTGTGTAAAAACAACTAGCTCGTCATCCTGTATAGTCGGCATAATCTTGTTGAAATGTAAATACACAACAATTGAACGACAGCAATCAGTGCTATTTATTAAATGAAAAAAATAAGAAAATGTACGTCATACCTGTTGTCAAATAGTGTACATAAATAAAAACAAATAGAAGACGGGTGAAATGCAGATGTGTTCTACAGGAGTCTTGAGTGAATTACAAATGTCTTTCTCGGCTTCTTGGTGGTCGAGTTTTGTACCACGAAACGTCGCTTCTCAAGAACAAGAGAGCTCAAGGAAACCTTTGAGTAAAACTTTTATTTTTTCTGTACAAAATCATATTAGTTACCAGTCTCAGTTATTTCATTATCATCTCCCCACTAGTTCAAGTCCCATCTTTAGGAACAATCACATATTAGGTTCTTGTGAGTGACGCACAGAAAAAAAAAAAAAAAAAGTTCACATCTTTGTCCGATCTTTAAGCTCACTTATTGGATGACAATAAGAAGATGCCTTTACATCTCCTCGGATTTCTCATCTCATTACTGCTGGACAGACAGTTAAAGTACCTCTCAGAACTTGTTATTGGACTCGTATATTCTCAACACCTAGAAAAGCTCTAAATCCCTGACGTGACCACAGTGTGTGCAACGCGTTTGTTTCGTCTCTACAACTGGGAATCGAGGTAAGAAAACCATAAAGGGGAACTCGTCACAGGCAAATACCACTTCACACTTTCCATTCTGTAAAAGATCACTGGTTGATTTTGCATAGTTGCATTTACAAATTAAAATATTTTTGTTGTCGTTGTTGCTTTGGAATAAACATCGACGGTGCATTAAGTCATAGTTTGGTGGGATTTTACTGAGAAGAACAGAACAAATATACAACAGCTGTGTCTATGATTTGCACGATGATTTCTAGACCATCCACCAGGCTCTGCTACGTTAAACTGTGTGGATGTGCGCGACAGAAGGAGAAATATGTTACAGCATTCAGAAATGTGCACCAAACAAAAAGACAAGATGCTAATTTCTTTTTCACAGCTGAAATGTCAAAACATTTATAAAATGTTAAACAGGAAAAATGTTTCCGCATGTGTAGATTATCAAAATACCTCTTTATGATTTCAAGGCCCTGTTTAAATTTAAAAATAAAAAGTATATAAAATCGACGTGATTTGCCATTCAAGTGACCGTATTAAACATAATCTGTAGGGTGTTTAACACGGTCTTCTCATGTTCTCATTCATCCACCTGATCACACGTGCTGAAAATACATCTTTCTGCTCATACTTTATGTACATCGATCTCTCAGTACATTCGTCCATCCATGAAGTAGCCGTTTACTTCACCTCACACCTTCTCCATCAAAGCTTTGCAGACGCATCGGCGCATACTTGACAATTCAACCCCAGTCGTTGGTCGCTTCAAAAACATAACCTATCGACCTACATTTTCAAACCAAACTCGCACTTACAAAAGATCTTGACTCCAATATCAAAGAACTGTGTGTAAAATAAAACAAAAGGGGGGAATTGGAAGAGAAAGGGGAAATGTATCACCTAAAAAAGTAAAAAAATCTGTAAGAAGCCATTTGATTTTAAATTAGAAGACGATCCCTCTTATTTTCATCACAGTGTTGTGGCCAGTTCATATGAATTATTCTGATTAGCAGGGTTCCCAGAGTTTAACACACCAGCACCAATCTGCACACTTGGACACTCCCCCACATATTTGTCCCCGGGGTATAAAGGGGACAACCCTCTACTTCAGAAGACATTGTCTTCCCGCTCTAGCAGACATACCAGTGTGGTCGTGGACTAGTTTCTGGCATTAAAACCTCTTTCTCTGAAGCCTCATCAAGGCCTTTGCCCATGTTGAAGTTCTCTGTTGTCCCCAAGCATTGTTCTCCACTGATGTTCCTCCGTATGATGTCAGAGCCCC